GAAATTCTTTTTGCTGTGAAAGTAAATGTGAGAATAACTTTTATATAATCAGAAAGAGCTTTATTGCCAATATGCTTACACATACAATGAATTTGAATAAAAGTGATGAAAAATAAATATATACAAAATACACAATATTTAATATATATTGTATTGTATAATATATAATATATTGTATTGTATAATATTTAATAAATATTGTAATATATTAAAACAATATTTCAATATATTACTAATATTTCAAGATGAACATTTACTGGACTGAAGCAACTTGATTATCATTTTTTTTTAATGTAATGTTAAAATGTATCAAATATGATCCATCAGGCTTTAAAGGAATGTTTATTCGTTCATCTCTCAATCATCATTGTATTGCATTATACGTTTTGCCCCCAAAATAAAAACTACAGAGTTTTGATAATAAAAATAAGCATTTAAATATCGTATTAATTAGATATAGAAATGGGAGATATGACAACTGATATTTATATGCATTTTATGTATCAATAAAGATCTCATTGATTTACATTACAAGCAATCAGAATTTCATCTTACTTTTTAGCCATATAAATATCAGAAACTACACCAGATTGCATATTTTTGCTCAATTTGGGCCTCCTGGAGAGTGAGCTCCATACTCTCACTATATCATACTAAATGAGCCATAAACACCGGATATATCAAATATGACACCTAACAGAAAACACTAAGTACTGTACTTCTACTGTAAATGCTTTATTATGCATGCGCTTTTTTTTTTTTGTCTGAGGGAAACAAAATAATTTTCTGTGCTAATTGATATTGTGGCCCAAACGCTCAAGTCAGTCTGAACCCAGAACAGAAGTGCTGGAATGCCACATGGTTTTGATGCCCCACCCACCGCAGTGATGATGACACTCAGCGCCCCTGACCCCCCGCCTCCGGTATGAGTGGAATGTGTTCGCCACCCAAAGATCCCTGCTGTCATTCAGCACAACACCGTCTGCACGCAGGGAAATGAGCCCCCGGGGCTGCTGGGTAATTCACCCCCACGTCCTGGTGGGTCGACAGGGAAACTGAGGGGGTGGAGGTGCAACAAAATCCTCAAGAAAGAGCAGCATGTTCCTGAAAATTACATTGAAATTTTGTAGAAAAAGACATGAACTTACATGGAACATTTAAACACTACGACATTTGGGTGTTGAGAAATTTGACCCATCTAGTCACAGTGAGACAATGAGAAGGAAGTTCGAAATATACACTACTGTTCAAAAGTTTGTGACAGTAGTGATAGATTTATTTCTGGCTGAACTAATACAGTTTTGTAACTAAATCTATTCTTTAATTTTAGACATGGCAAATGTGGACAGATTCTTCCCACTCAAGCATGACTACAAGAAGCTGTGTGTGTGTGTGTGGACTTTTCTTAAGAAAAGAGTTGGAATTAGAATAGATGGATGGAGGGGGAGGGACAGACACTTTAGAGAGAGAAATGGAGTGTGTGTGTCCACAAAGATGGCGATATCCGAAATCCTTGTCCTTCTTCGAAAACCGCTTATAAATTAGATGGAGTTTTTTGAAAATGTATAAATGCAGAAAGTTTTCTGTGATGGTTAGGTTTAGGGGCTAGAAGAGACAGTTTGTATAGTATAAAAAACATTGTCTATGGAAAGTCCCCATATAACATGGAAACCCAGTGTGTGCGTGTGTGTGAGAGAGCAAGAGAGAGAGAGAAACAGCTGTAGTATAGATGTGTGTGTGAGCTGTAGTGTTAGTGGGTCAGTGTGCCAACTGCAGTCTAATCATCTACATCTACTCTCTATCACAAACACTTCACTCAAATTCTTTAAGTAATATGCAAAGGGATCCAAAAATTCTGAGGCAACTGTAGATGAGTAGACTGCAGTTGGCACACTGAACCACAGCACATTTTGACATATACTTTTATATATATATATATATATATATATATGGGAGATTTTACGCCTGATGGCCAATCTTCTCTGATTGCACATTCCATAAGAGCAGTGTGTGAAGGTTCAATTAGCAGAGCAATAGCACAACTGTACAGCTGTACTCTGATATGTCTCTCGTTGTGTTGTGTGTATTGCAGAGTTCAAACTCGCTGGCTCATCTGTGACCAGGACAGCAAATCTTTGTGGTGTATCGAGAGCTATGGTATCAGGGTAATGTCTGCATACCACCATCCAACAGGAGTAACTGTCGCCGCAAGAGGAATCTGTCTGAAAGGGATGTCTGGGGACTAACCCGGATTGTATCCAAAAAAAGACCACAGCTGCCCGACTCCCAGCAGAATTAAACGCGCACCTCAACTCTCCTGTTTCCACCAAAACTGTTCATCAGGAGCTCCACAGAGGTAATATTCACGGCCGGGCTGCTATAGCCAATCCTTTGGTCACTCGTGCCAATGCCAAATGACGTTTTCATTGGTGACAACAGTGCAAATCTTGGGATGTGGTCAATGTGAAACATATATTGTTCTCTAAAGAGTCCACCTTCACTGTCTTTCCACATCCGTGTGAGTTTCGTGCGGAGAAACCCCATCCAGAATGAAGCACGGGTGGATCAGTGATGGTTTTTGGGCTGAAATATCATGGCAACTAGGGAACTACTGTGTATGATGTGTGCATTACTGCCAAGGTAATGGTGCTTCTAATGGTTCAAACATTGTACTCTGAAGAAGGTGCCATGTATCAGCCAATGTATCACCAATACTTGTGACAGAATGGTTTGATGAACATGAAAGTGAAGTTGAACATCTCCCATAGCTTGTACAGTCACCAGATCTGAAACGTTTTGAGCCACATTGGAGTGTGAAGGAGCGAGTCGGAAAACATTTTCCTCCACCAGCATCACATCGTGACCTGGCCACTGTTCTGGAGAGGAACGGCTCTACATCCCTCTGGCCACACTAAAGGCCTTGTATCTGCCATTCCCAAGATGAATTGATGCTGTATTGGCTGCAAAAGTATATTACATTGTGTGTTTTTAACTTCAATGATACCTTCACCGGAGCTGCATGAACAGAACCCCAGTGCTCATGTTCTTCAGCATGATGTGAGATGATCACTTATTTATTTTATTAATCACCCTGAGATCTGCAGAAACAGTTAAATGTTGGGTGGAGTCACATTTGGTTGAATATATAACGATTTTGAATGTTGCTTTTCACATGTAGATCATGTCTGATGATGTTCTCTTACAGTTACGCCTACAGCAAAACTGAAAGTGTGTGTTTGTGTGAGTTTTGCAGACTGACAGCCAAAAGCGCAACTGCTTTACAGTCACACCCCCCTCGGCCATAACAGCACGATAATCTCTCACTTCTCTCTCTCTCTCTCTCTCTCTCTCTCTCTCTCTCTCTCTCTCTCTCTCTCTCTCTCTCTCTCTCTCAGTCAATTTAAAGTTCTTTAGGTTGTGTTTACATATAATATTGGCACAATAAAGCAAATACTAACCAGAAAAGGAAATATACAATATATTCTGACCGTCTGACTGATGTAAAGTTACCAATTATAGTTTGTTTTGTTTTTTTGTGAGCCGTTTAAGAATGGGTTTAGATAACAATAATAGACCAGCATTCGCACACTATTGTCGAGACATGAATTTACAGAAAACTGAAAAAAATGTGTAGACTTTTTGTGACCAGAATTTCTATATGAGTAGCATCTTCCATTAGCTGGACAAATAGATATAGTCCCGTCCTCAAACACCCACTATTGAGCCAATGCTTCTGTGTCAGTCTGGTCAATTTTCAGGGTCAGTCTTTAAATGGATTATTTTTAGTTTTCTCTGTGTTTTAGATAAGATTCGTTTCAGTTTTAAACCATTTGAAGTGTGTGTGTGGAGACAGTGTCTTTTGAATCCGTTATTGGGTTTCTGTACTGTTGTTTTAGAGAGAGAGAGAGAGAGAGAGCTTACAAACAACCTTTCTCTTAAACACACACACACACTGTCAGAAAACCTCTGTCGAGAGGGAAGCGCTCGCTCTTTCCCAGACTTCTTCATCTCATTATCATTCTGTTCCAGTTTCACGTTTTCACTGATCTTCTGCTGCTGTCAGGTTGCCATAGCGCTGCGTTTCTGTTAGCGTGTACGACGGCGTGACCCATTTTTCACCCCCCCATCATCCCTCGCCCTCAATAACCCCTCTTTCCCCTCCTCCATCACAGAAACCCTCCACAGGCCTGCTTTCCTCATTCACCACTTGGACTCGCTTTTCTTTTCACCAAATGCCTGAGATCTTACATTTGCTACTTATTCAGTTCTTTAGTTTTTTTTTAATTAATGTTGATATTGTTTGAGTAAAAATGATCTCTTAAATAGCTCTTTTGACACAAAATTGAAAACGAGTTCAATCTCATTATCTCCATTGAGAAATAGATTTTAAACATATAAACCTTTCAATACAGACCTACGTGAGATTGTTAGGATCTCTGTGCAATTTCAATTTTTTTTTTTTTTTTTTTATGTTTTAAATGTGAATTCAAGGTTCAGCAATTGAAAAACAACACTCTAAGTCTCATAAGAGATGGACCATACTGATAATCATATGTTTGCAAATATCTTATGAATATTTTTACAATCAAATGTTCACTTGGGATCAATGACAGTAGTTTTATTGAATCATCATTTATATTTTGTTTGCTACATTTTTGGAAAAATACAATAAGTACGCATAATTTCTTGTCTTGTAAATCCATCATTTTCAGGTTTTCAAATGTTTTAATTACAATCAGAGTTTATAATTTCATCTCAAAGCTGGTTGGTTTGGTTCATGCAGTTTGGTTGAAGAATTATTTTAATTGTTATGGAGAAAATGAACGGGACACATGAATAATGACTTTGGCTTGTGGTTTTAGAAATCTTGAAGTATAATGCACAAGTCGTATTAACCACTTTTATGATGCCTATATTTTGTTTTGCTTCCTTTTAGGAGCTTGAAAGTCTCCATCCTTTGCAACTCCATGTCTGACTCCATCCTTTGCAATTTTATGGGAAAGAGCAACCAGCAGAATTATTTCAAATCCTAAGGATAAGACAGAAGATATAAAGTCATGCAGGTTTCGAATGGCATGATGGTGAGTAAATGACAGCTTTTTTAAATATTAATTTGGGTGAATTTTGATGTCATGTTGACCTTGTACTTAAGAAGCTTGTTTCTGCCACAGAATAAAAAAAAAATAAAAAAAGTCATTTATATCTCACAACTTTTTTTTCCGCAATTGCGAGTTTCTGTCGCAATTCTGACTTTATAATTTGCAATTGCGAGTTTGTGTCATACCTCTGATAAAAAAGTGAGAAAAAGTGAGAATTATTATGTGATATAAACTTGCAATCGCAAGAAAAAAAGTCAGAATCGCAAGATATAAACTCACAATTTATATGCGAGTTTATGTGAGGTATTGTGAGATATTAACTTGCAATTGCAAACAAAAGTCATAATCGGGAGATATAAACTCCGCAAATATGAGAAAAAAGTCAGAATTGTAAAATATAAACTCGCAATTGTGAAAAAGTCACAAGTACCTTTTTATTTTTTTTCTGTGGGGGAAACAAGCCAAAGAGTTTGTACTGTAAAGTATCAAATCAGTCTTGTAGAAACACAGGCGTGTATGTGTGTGTGTGTGTGTGTGTGTGTTTAATAATCTGATTATGATTTCATTTCATAAGACATTCACGCATATGAACCAAAATAAGAGCCGACATGATTTATAAATCAGGAGCGTAATCACAGGATTTACAAGACTGGATTACACACACACACACACACACAGTATGGAGTGTCTGGCTAGACACATCTGGTGCTGTTTGTCTTTATGGCTGAAAAAGTTTCAATGCAGGAAGTAAAAGACTTCTGAGTTTTAACAGGGCAACACGTCCTCTTAAACACACACACACACACACGCACACACACACACACATATATTGAGGATGTAGCAAAATAATACAAGACAGACTCCAAAGCTAGAAGGACTGCATCTAAAAACATTTACAACACATACCGGTACGAAGGCAGTTTCAGCATCTGGCAGTGTTCAGTAAGGAGTTAATGCTGGGAAACCCAGAACTGTTAAACAGAGGTCAAGTCTGTTTACTCTTTTCTTGAAAATCTAGACATCCCTCGTATGTGTCCAGCTTTCAACATATCCTGCGTGAGTTAGTGCGCTCGAGTTAAGCTGTTAAAATCACGTGAAGAATGTGAGGTTTTGGAGATTAGCTATCTGAGACATGAAATGCTGAATGTGATGTGACTGATAGTGGAGCAATACATGAACTCTTAACACAACCAAAATATACTTGACCGAGGTTATTCAATCAGACCTCACCTGGGTATTAACAGTTACGCACAGGTGAGATCTCTGAGAATGTGATAAGAGTCACTGATAGAGGAAAACATGTGAAGATTGGGATGCTTTAAGTGCCCTTCATTTTAATGAATGTGCACTTGTAGTGTACTTCGAATCTTAAAAGTCTATTTTTTAATATACGTGCAGATAATATACTAATGAAATCTCTAAGTACACTTAAAGCTGCAGTCCGTAGCTTTTTTTGGGTTAAAAATTATCCAAAATACATATTTGAGAAAATACATAACCAGCCAGTGTTCAAAACTCTCTGCTTGCCGTAGCTCAATTTAAAGCGGTAAGCTTGTAATAATGTTTTTAATTCCAGTGGTACTGGTTGATTTCCGCGGGAGATTCGAGCATGTCTTTGCGTCATTACGTCACATCTGTACACACACATCTGTGCACACACATCTGTACACATAAAGAAGAGTCTCGGCTAGTAGGCTATGAGTGTGAGGATGCTAGAGGTGGAGATTTATAGCCTTTTCTCACAGCACTTGATATAATTAAACTTATCAATTTGATGGCGGATCCAGAAAGTTTCAAACGACAATCACCAGTGACAACTAGAGACTCACCCGCTGTAAAATGAAAAAGACTTCGTTCGGACTTCGGAGTGGCTACAGAAGAAGAGACTGCAACCGGACCCATGCGAAAACAAGGATACATATCGGAAGGACATTACATGATGTAGTCACGCAATGCTGACGTTGTTAACATTAACAATCTGAGAACAAAGTATAATTTGCACGGTTTTGCGTGATATGATAACTTATAAGCGATTGTTAGATTTAATCAGCGCGATTTACTGCAATGTCAGAACCAGAACAAAAGTGAATGTTTCTTACATTGTTCAGATGACATTTTCCGGTGAAACTTCTTATCTTGGTCTGGTGGTCATACTTCCAAAAAGAATAATCTGTGATTCTGAATGCCAGTATCCACACCGGCGGTGACTGACAGCTGCACACTCTCCTCAAACACTGTGTTCATCCGCGCTGTGCCGTGTCGAGGGTGTTGAACTACAACCCACGTAAAGTTGATAATTCCGCGAATGACTGCATTTGCAGATTTCGAACAGAGATGGCGACAAAGAGGAAAAACGCCGGACTGCAGCTTTAAGTGCACATTATAATAGTCATTTTTAAATTTTACTTTAAAGTACATTGTAAATCATTGTTTTAATAATCTTATTTTACTTTAAAGTACATTGTAAATCATTGTTTTAATAATCTTTTTTTCATGCTTTAAAGTACACTTCTGATGCATTGATACTAAAGCACCTCTAAGGTACTTGATTATAATTTAAACTTAAAGTATATTTTAGTTAAGTTAGTAAACGTTTGTCATTGAGAGCTTTTTGTCTTTTTTTTTTTTGCTCCCTTGTTAATGCAGGGTTTTCATTTTATGGAAAAGAGGAATTTTTTTCCCAAATATGTCATTTTGAAATTAACAGAGTAAATTATGACTCATTTTTGACTCATAACTGTTCATTAAACCCTGTGTTATTCCAAGTGTACCTTTGTTAAAGGGGTCATATAATGCCATTTTTGTACAAGCTAGTATGATTCTTTAGGGTCTAAATTAAAAGTTTGTAATATACTTTAATTACAAATTCTCATTAGTATTGCAAGAAAACACTTATTTTACCTGGTCAAAAACAGCTCTGTTTTCAGCACGCCGTTTCAGTGCATATGCCTTTAAATGATAATGAGCTTTGCTCACCCCGCCTCTCTGTTCTGTGTACACCGTTTGTAACACAATAACACAATAACCATAACGCGTTGTTCAGTATAAACGTGGGATTATGAATTATATTGAGAACATCATACATAGAAAACATGCCGTAATGTACCCTAAGTGTAAACCTTAGACGCATTCATTGTGAAGCGTGCAGCTAGCGATTTGCAAAGATTAATATAAATATTAATATAAAGTTTAATAAAACGTTACACTCACTTCAGTTGTTCTAGAGGTTCAGCAGGAACACGAATATCTGCTCATACTGACCCTCGTTTATAAAGCAGTCTGGTGTGAGAAATGATTCGCGCAAACATGAGAGCATTGACGTTGCTCGTGGGGAATATTCCCTTCGAAAACAAACTCAGCCACTGCGTCTTCAGCGGTTCGGATTTAGGAACATTAAAATGACTGCTGTGTTCGTTATTACACCCAAGAGCAGAACACCACAATCGCTTAGACGCCATTCTGCTCATAGACAGTGCTCCAGCATATCAACAATGACCGCGCCGGTCCGCGCAGACTATGATTGACAGCTCGCTCACGAGCGAGGGCGGGTCTGTGTTGATATGCTGCTGTCAATCAACAATCGTGGGAGGGGCTTCCGAGCGTGTGACGTCACTAGGTCGAACGGCTTGATTTGAGGCAGGGGAAAACATAAGGAGATTATAACAAAAACACTGGATGGATTTTTATCATTTTATGATGGTTGTGTACAGGCACTGCCAACACACATTTCAGTACAATCAACTTGAAAAGTGCATGTACCATTATATGACCCCTTTAAGTGTTCTGCAAATCCCTTTAGATACAAGCATTAGTTTAAAAAAAAATACAGATTTTGTTTTTTAACTTTGTTTTCAGTTAGTTGTGTAATATTATGCAAATCTGTGTCAAGAAATGTCATAAATTGCTCAGTCAGCTGGCACACTGGGGCATTACAGTAACAGACAATGGTGGGAGTTTCCCATGAGCCCTGCTTCCCAAACGTTAATCAAATGTGTGGTGAATCACACTGCTGAATCAGCTTTACACTCAGACAGAAACTGATTCAGTCAGAGATTCACAGACGCTTTCCTCCAAGAAATATCTGTCAACTTTCAATCCGTTTATCCTCCCATCCTTCCTCCAGGCCACAGGAAGTGGTTCCCCCAGCATGAGCAAGACACTGGCATCTCATCCTACAGGAAACAGGAAGTGACCTCGAATGCCTGAGGGAGGATGACATATCCTCAGCGTTTAGCATTTAATTTCCATTCGAATTCCAGCTCATGAACTGGAAGGAAGCCAGTTCTTAAATTCTGCAGATCGCTGAGCGTTTATTTACATGTGAATGTGTGTGTGATTTCTGGTTGCCTCAGGAATGTCTTATCACATTGGTATCAGTGTGTCGTTGGAAGAACAGACATGTTCAAACATGAATCTGTCATATCTGAATCACTGCAGACTTGACGTCTGACATGCATTATTCACAGACGCTCTTAATGGATGTTTTCACACGAATATGGTTTGATCTGAGCGATTTATTGCTGAACAATAATTCAGGAGGAGAAGACACTGATTTACTGTCTTATTGAAGTATTATAGGACCCAGTTAAAGGGGAACGCTCTCACAACTTTAGCTAACGTTCTCTCATATGAACAAAAGTTCTTCCAGTAATGTTAATAGGACCTTCGTTCAAAGTTATCTGGTCTTTAATAATCTTATCAAAACATTAGCACAAAAACATTTATGGATTTTAAAAAAAATAATAATAATTTTGCTCCTCGTTTCAGAACGTTCGGAGAACATTCAAAAGTAACGTTTCTATAATGTTTAAAGAATGATGAAATGGAATGTGCCCTTAACGTTCACATAACCAAGAAAAAACGTTTTAAACATTTGAGAAACTGGACATTTGGAACGTTCTGAGAACATTCAGAAATAATGTTGTCATAATGTAATGGGAACGTTAGCAAACAGTTTTTAGAGCATATTTTTGTCAGCTGGGTAGTGATGGTGATAGTATAGTAGGATAGACTGCTTTTATACCAATTGTATATTTCAGCCAGTCAGAATTTAGACAAAAGCCATAAGTAGAAGTGATTTTACCGGTAAAGGTTAAGGGTTGCTGTCAGTCATGATGTGATCTTTCTGATTTATTTTTTATATAAATGGGCAGCAATGGCAGTATTATATAAGATACCAATGATCTATAAATATTTGTCTATTATCAATATTCATCATGAACAATTCATTTGCCAGTGTAATTGCCAAAGTGTATTATAGCTGAAGGTTTTGTAGCAATGTGCTACAATATGTATATTTACATATTTAAAAATTAAATGTAAATAATAATAAAAAGTAATAAAATAATAAAAAGTATTATATATATATATATATATTATATATAAATAGTTTATATATATAAATTGATTTACTTTGGGTGCATTTATCCATGATTATTAAATGTAATAAAATAAAATTTTGGGGGAATGTTTTGTGAAGATTTAGAGAAAATGGTTTTCCGATTATTGATTAATAAAATGCAACCTTTTCCATCGTAGTGCTTTTAATGTTTTTTTTATGAAATCAGTAAGGCACACAAAAATGCATTAGGTTTTTACCGTGATTAAAATGCCACTTCACGTCATGACCTATAACAGCCCTTAACCATGGTAAATCATGGTGTTCATGTGGAGTTTAACTGTGTCTGGTGTTGACTGACCTTCAGGAGAGATCAGAGGATGCTTTTACACAGAACCAGACTAGGTCCAGGAAATGGCCACCACACACACACACACACACACACACACACACACACTGTAAATGAGTGTGTGGTCTTATAAGAGCAGAAGGGAAACGTGCTGGGTGTGTGTGTGACGCAGATGGCGGTGGGTGTTTGGGGTGTTTCAGTCTTGAGGTGGGGTGATGATGACAGAGATGTGGTGGGATTTATTAGGTTGAGAGTCATTCAGGAAATGATGTAGTGAAATCTGACTGGTCTGAAATCAGGAACGCTGCTCTGGTGGCACGTCGACGTCAACATGACATCAAACTTCACCCAGTTCACAGACATATATATGAACCATTCATCATTCCATGTTATCCAAAGGAAAAACTCTTGGTTTTCATAATCTTTCCTAGTAATATAATAACTTGTTGCACCTCTGAAAAGGTCACTTTCAATAGCCAGATAGCTAGTTTGGCATTGTTTTAAGGTTACAGCAATCACAGAGAATTTTAACTAAATATACAATTGCAATTTAGTTACAGCAAAAAAAAGAAGCATTTGTGTGCAACCATAAATTTAAATACAATATTTTTACGATGATGCAAACGTGACTAGTGTGCGGGTTTATATATATATATATATATATATATATATATATATATATATATATATATATATATATATATATATATATATATATTATACAGTATATACTATAAATCAAATTAAAATTGTTTTCTTTAATTTAAATGAAATTGAGATCAAATAAAATATGAATATTATGTGAAAATGTTGCCTTGGCATAACTAACTGAAATGAAATAAGTTGAAGTACTAAAATTACTCAAACTACAACTGAAAAATAAATAAATAAAAGCTAAATAGAAATATTAAAAAACTAAAACTATTGAAAATGACAAAAGCACGTTACTTGAATTTAAATTAAAATGAAAACTAAAAATATACAAATAAAGCTAATCAAAAATATTAATAAATACTATAATAATATATAAATAGCACTGCTATAACATGTTAATTCTTCTTTTTCAGATATAGCCATACCCTAAAACCACAAAAGGATCTCATCCCACACCTTTTTTTTTTTTAGATGGTTTTATTCTGAAATACGTCACATTAAGGAAGTGAAATTATATTCGAATGCGGTTTCATGTTGCTCAAACACACAGATGGATGTTTAGATAGTGCCATGGGGACACACTGTTTACACCTCAGGGAAATCAACCTGCTAAATATTCCTTTTTGCATATTTTAAGCTGGGTTAGATAATGAATGTATTTTATCACTGAAAGAATGACCCACTTCAGCTTTAATGTTTCTGCAGGAAACTGAAGCCACATTGACCAGATCTCCGGGATTCAGTGTGTTTTATCTGACGGTGACACTGTTATCAGAGCTGCGAGTCAGATCACGACACCACACAAACCTCGAGACCCAGAGGTCAAAGGTTAGATACTTCACAACCCTTACAAAGGCCGGATCAACTTATTTTGTTGATGCTACAGGGTTTGTACATTTTTTTTTCTCTCACACTAACATGGGCAGCCTAGTTTCTCCCTGTGGTCTCTTGATCTCTCATTCTTTCTCTTTCTATCTCCTTTGTTCATTCCACACATGCCAGTGTAAATGACAGATGTGGATAAGAGATGTGTGTGTGTTTGTGCTCATCCTCCTTAAGATGAAAGATCAGGGTCATCATTCCCAGACCCGCAGGAGCCTCACCGACCACATACAAACCTCAGGTGTTTGACCGTCACAATTCTGCTCGTCTGTGGGACGTTTTACACACTCAGTGTTTAATCACTTCATCACTAACCCTAATATGAGCAGTAGAAATTAGGGTTGCCATGTCCACATAACAAAACTATCAATGGCTGATTAAAAATAGCCCAAAAGTAGCCCAGTGACCATCCCAAAACTCAAAATATGCCACCCCCATACTTTAAATACATATTTTACAGTCACTGTTATGAAAACGTCTATACCGTAGTGATCATAAACAAGGGTCAGGGGCTCCCTACCAGTGCCCCTCCTTCACAAAACTTTACATCTAACAGTTTTATCATTGGTAGAATATAAAATATCTCAATACAAGCATTTTTCACAAGCAGCGGGAAACCTTGGCAAACCTGGAAGTAAGTAAATGTGATATTTTGACTTCGATTCTAAAGCAGAAGTATTCAAAGCAAAGTTTAGACGTTGTTTGCTTTAGTTGTAAATGTCCTTGTCATATTTCACTGCCCAGGACAAAACCATCCACAGCTAACAGGATATCCTCTCCTGACAGGAAGTGACACGGCACACACACGACTATGAAACAGGAAATGCACCCTGTGTATGCTCATTCACTGATTCATAATAGTCAAACACTGAAAACATGGGCAGGGCAATCGCTACAAGCAATCTATTATTTAATATATAATAGTTTATATTTGAATATTTTTGATCGTGACGAGAAAGAATGAATCTGTGAATAATTTATTTGAACCAACAACTGATTCATTGAACTGGACCGTTTGAAATGAATCAGACCAAATCGGATATCTATTTTTGCTACTGAAGTTTAAAGATATTTAAACACCCGTCTTCACTCTCTCAAGTCTGTAATAGTCTATAGCAAACTTAAAGAACATTAAATCAAAACATAAAAAAACATTAAATGTTGCGAATTGAACTTATACACAAAATTGGGATATGGCTTAAAACAATAGCAAATAAAGCAGCGTTTCCATCCCATGTGATCATCAGCGTCAGATGAAACACAATAAACGCTGTCATGTTCTCTTGCGTTCGGATGCTGGTGTTTGTGAACGCAATCCTGAGACGCTTCTGGGAGAGAATTAAACCAAATCATTCTGACGACAGACTTTGACTCAGGCATTTCAAAACCATTAAACCAACATGCCGAGATGCTGTGATGTGATTGGTCCGCTGGTTAGTCCAGTCATCCAATCACATCCTCTGATATCCCAAAATGCGCATAAAAACAGGTTGATGGAAATAAGCTAATGTTCATTAAATTAATATCAAAATACAGTAAACATTCAATATATCACTGTCCTATAAAACACACACACACTTGGTGACACACTGACACACTTGGAATGCAAAGGAAGCCAGCAGACAGTTGATAACCTGGATATCAGGAGATAACCCTGTCTTTGAGGAGAAGGAATGCACACATTCTGATAGCGAGAAGAGCCACGTCATGTGACGCATGATACATTTTCCACAGAATCAGATGGGAAATGACAGGGGTGCTGAGTTTTGTTTCAACATGCCTCACGTTTACAAAATTGCTCAACACAGTGAGTGTGTGTGTCATTTCTACTTGCTTAGATAGAGCATTTTAAATAACTCGGAATAGTTTTGAAGTGTGTACAGAACACTTACCGCTCATCTCAACACATAATTAGAGATTCGGGATTGCTAAGGCCTGCATCACCATTGCTCATAACCTCAACACTGTCAGATTGTGTCATGAAGCTCGTCCCGGACCGTTTGTGCGAATGTGCTGGTACTTTACTAAGTTTTCGAGCTTGTGATTTCTATTTGGTGGCTGATAAAATGCCATAGACTTACATAGAAGTACTAAACACACAGAAACTGCGTTGGTCTCTCTTCTGACCCAAACCTCTGACCTCTGCTGGATAAGGATGCGTTTCCTTATTTCTCCCTGGGACAGGAAAAGGCTTTTGCTGCGGAAACAGTCCCTGCTAAGAGGAAATGATCTCACTGCACCTGTGTGAGGAGGATGAGGACACACACACACACACACACACACACACTTCCCATGCAGCTGTGCAGTTGGATTTTAACAGGAAATAAAGGAGACGTCAGGCTTTTTTCCCAGACCTTCTTTCCTTATTCCCCAAAAACTCTTCAAACATGTTTGCCACAATTGCCAGTAATAATTAAAAATATTATTTTGTAATCATATAAATGTTATTTTATTAAGAATCATTTAATAATTGTTATGCACACCAACATAACAATACATAGTATCATATAATAATATTTACAGGTACATCTATCTATCTATCTATCTATCTATAAATTACAGGAACGTCTGTCTGTCTGTGTGTCTGTCTGTTAATCGAATATCCCTCGAACCGTTAGTCCGATGGATTTCAAACTTGACAGGTGACTTGCTACGTGCACGAGTAAGTGCAGTGCCGAGTTTGACGTTGTTCGGATTAGAAATGCAAAATATATCGTTAAATATATATGTAAAAGAAGCACACGTTGAAGTTGTGGTTTAAAAATAAACATTCTGACATTAGAGAGGGTTTGGTTTAAAATGTGTGGTTTAAAAATAAACATTCTGTCAGCTAAACATTAAGTCAGCTACACTGTTTACTTCTGAAGTAAAAAAGTAGCGATTCTTTTCGAGAAATGTAGCGATTTTTTTCAAGGTTGTTATACATTTATTACAATGTAATTATATGTTTATTACAATGTAATTATACATTGTTTACAATGTAATTATACATTTATTACAATGTAATTATACATTGGTTACAATGTAATTATACATTGGTTACAATGTAATTATACGTTTATTACAATGTAATTATACGTTTATTACAGTGTTATACATTTAATACAATGTAATTATACATTTATTACAGTGTTATACATTTGTTACATCATTATTATTATACATTTGTTACATTATTTTTTGTTACATGATTTTTTTTGAAAAAGTAGTGATTCTTTTTGGAAAAAGTAGCGATTCTTTTTGAAAAAGTAGTGTAAAAAAATTTAATTATACATTTGTTACAGTCTTATTATAAATTTATTACAATGTAATTATACGTTTTCTACGATGTAAATATACATTTATTACGGTGTTATACATTTATTACAGTGTTATTATACATTTGTTACATTATTATTATACATTTGTTACATTATTATTTTGTTACGTGATTCTTTTTGAAAAAAGTAGTGGGAAAAATCTAATTATACATTTGTTACAGTGTTATTATACATTTATTACAATGTAATTATACGTTTATTACAATGTAACTATACATTTATTACAACGTAATTATACATTACGGTGTTGTTATACGTTTATTACAATGTAATTATACATTTATTACAGTGTTATACATTTGTTACATTATTATTTTGTTACATTATTCTTTTTGAAAAAGTAGCGATTCTTTTTGAAAAAGTAGCGATTCTTTTTTTAAAAAAGTATCGATTCTTTTTTAAAAAAGTAGCGATTCTTTTTTAAAAAGTAGCGATTCTTTTTGGAAAAAGTAGCGATTCTTTTTTGAAAAAGTTGCGATTCTTTTTGAAAAAGTTGCGATTCTTTTTGAAAAAGTAGCGATTCTTTTTGAAAAAAGTAGTGTAAAAAAATGTAATATACATTATTACAGTCTTATTATACATTTATTACAATGTAATTATACATTTATTACAATGTAATTATACTTTATTACAGTGTTATTATACATTTTTTACATTATTATTATACATTACAGTGTTATTTTGTTACATTATTCTTTTTGAAAAAGTAGCAATTCTTTTTGAAAAAAGTAGAGATTGTTTTTGAAAAAGTAGTGTAAAAAAGTAATTATACATTTGTTAGTCTTATTATACATTTATTACAATATAAATATACGTTTATTACAATGTAATTATAGATTAGTGTTATTATATGTTTATTACAATGTATATTACAATGTATTATTACAATGACAATGACAATTGACAATGACAATGACAATGACAATTTATTTGTATAGCACTATTAAAAACAACAGCTGTTGACCAATGTGCTTTCCACATAGAATCACAAATCAATACGGAACTTTATATTTAAGAAACATGTAGGCACATATAAATACACAGTTTTTAATCAAAAGCTTTTGAAAATAAATATATGTTATACGTTTATTACAATGTAACTATACATAGTTTTTCATAGTTCTATACATAGTTTTTCATAGTTCTTAGTCTCTTAGTTTTTAAACTATGTATAGAACTATGAAAAAGTAGCTATTCATTTTTGAAAAAGTAGCCATTCACTTTTGAAAAAGTAGCGATTCTTTTTTTTGAAAAAGTAGCGATTCACTTTTGAAAAAGTAGCGATTCTTTTCGAAAAAGTAGCGATTCATTTTTGAAAAAGTAGCGATTCATTTTTGAAAAATTAGCAATTCATTTTTGAAAAAGTAGCGATTCATTTAAAAAAAAGTAGCGATTCATTTTTGAAAAAGTAGCGATTTAACTGCATTTGTAAGTCAGCTACACTGTTTAATTCTGAATATTATATTTTATTCTAGTGCGCTTAACGTTAGCGTTTTCTCAGAGATTAGGCTCCTGTGTAATAGTAGCCTAGGCTATTAAGAAACTCAAACATACCAAAACAACAATTACTGAAAACACACAAAAACTGATTTTGCACGGGCATGGCACTAGTTTATTTTAATGTGAGATTTTAATACTTGAAAAATGTTATGTTATTTAAATATTTGATCAGATCAAATCTAATACCATAAATGCCTTACCATAACATTTAAGATGTTATAAAGTGAACATGATATAAGAATTTACACTATTTACTGTCTTACTGCACCTTTCTTGTTTTATTGTGAATGATACATCATTTCAAACAATAATAACAATTGTTTTTAGCATTTCATCAAAATATAATAACTTTGAAATTCCACTTTCCTTTACAGGTGCCGTCACCAATCCACCATTCAAACATCAATTCTGAGAAACAAAATTAAGTTCCAGCCTACATTTTTTCTCAGTAAGTATCATGTTTCCCTCATGCATTTTCATGTTTCAATCATAAAACTTATACTACAGTACAGACAAAAACAAATGTAATTTCTACATTGAACAAGTTAGTTCAGGCAAGAATAAAAAAAAAGGTAAATTTTATATTAGTACTCGATTCAAGCTTGAACTAATAAGTATATTTTACTTGGAATTGTTTGCTATGTTTACAATGATTTTTTGAGTTTCAAAGTTATAAAATGAAGTAAAACCTACTCAACTTTCTGATACTGGTGATCTCATCATGCACTAGGGCATGAATAATTAATAAGGTTGCATTTTTCACTTTTATTTCACAGTTTTATCTTTGCTTTTGTGGCTAAGTCAATTTTATTTAAGTAAAATAGGTTGCAAATGCTTATTAATTGCTGATCATCTCATTTAATCAATCATTCAGATAATCAAAAATGCTACTGTAAAAATATCTTTCAAAGTTTGTACGTTTTAGAAGATAATACCATTTCAGTCTTTCTACTTCAAAATGTCACTTTTAATTCACTGTATACTTGCCGTTTCTTTGAAAAACAATAGGATTCATTGCTCTGTAATTGTTGTGAAATTTACTAGTAATGTCTGTGTAATTACCAGTATTACACATGCAAACCAGTCCATTCTTCTATTTCAGAGCACATGCATAAGTCATAATTGGCACATAATCGAGTGATTCATCTGCAGTAGATCTTGTGATGTGTTCAACTGAAATACTGAAATGCCAGTAGTTGTGACAGTATTGGCTGGTATCAGAAGGATCTCCGCAAGTTGTTAAATTTGAATGACATGAAGAGGAATTTACTAAATTGCAATTCAAAGAAATTCAACAGTCACAAAAGAAAGGAATTTCATAACCAAAACGATGCAGATTACATTTCTTTCTCTCAGATGAATAGACATTCTTCTAAATTCATCAAAGCAATTAACAGTCATCAAACCAGCTCATGTTTTTCAATTTATGAAAAATCAGTCATGCGGAATCAAAATGTGAATCTACCAATTATATATTAATGTTACTTTGTCTTCATTTTGAAGACTTTGGGGTAAATGTTATTTTAAATTAAACGTGATTGACATAAAAATATTGTTATTTTATTTTTTCATATTTTATGATTTCCAAGTGAATGCGTGTTCATGCTAGCCGACCAAGATGTCAGAAGAGAAATGCAATCTAATAAAAATAAAATTATTATTTTGCCTAGTGTTTGTGTGCTATGAATATAATTTTAATAGAGGATTCTGCCTTAGGAGATAGAGCTGCCTATGTAGACTGCAGAAAAAGTAACGCACTAGTTTTTTATCTGCTGTCATGTCAAGTAATGATAGTGTGTAACAGGTTTGGGAGTGGATCCAGATATTTATCATGGCAGGCAAATAAATCATAATCAGGAGATAGAGGACAACAGAAACACTGTCTATTCGGTCACGGTTTCAGCTTATGAATGCTTCTGACTTTCTTCCCCAGAATTGCATGATATAAACTCACAATTCTGACTTTTTTCTCGCAATTGCAACTTTATATCATACAATTCTGAGAAAAAAGTCAGTCTTCCTGTATGTTTACGTGGTCTTTGGAACCAAATGTAGAATTTCAACTCTAAATTCTAATTGGAGGATTTATGTTCTTGGAAGAAACGTTTATCAACTTTTAAAAAAGTTATTTTATACACATACTGTATCCTTTAACAGGGTGGACATTGGTTTATGAGTGGCATTTTTAGGTCTTAATAGCCCAAGCCTCAACCAATATACATTTTTGTATTATTATTATCGTTTACAAATGGGAGATTGAAAGATTTCTATTGGCATTATTTTGAAGGAATGATACAGCGTTTGAATTCATTAATCTCAACACAATCAGGTAACTCTCTCACACAGGAATATGATCTTGAAAAAAATCCTCAGCAATGGCCATAGGCCACTTTCATTATTATAATGTATGGCTTTAATAACTGCAGCACAGAGCTGGACACTGGCCTCGTTCCAAACACACTATTACTGTGATGATCGTATTCCTCATGTTTCAGGTCCTGTAGTTTCAGAGTAGCATTGTTACAGAATCACCTGCAAAAATGCAGTGATTGAATATACAGTAGTACATAGTGTGCACGCATTTTTTTTTTTCAGTCCGGTACCATGTTAGATCAAGGTCAATTACTGTTATTAATGGAATAATTCACTTCTGACAATAAAATGGTTCATTGAAAGTAATTTCTATAGTCCCCCTGTGGTGAAAATCAAGCTTTTAATGTTATTTATATGTCTATGTGGTGTTTTTAATATGCTTTAAGACAAACCATGTGTAAATTCATAAGTCGACGACACCATTGTTGAGTATTTTCTCCTTAAAACTGCAGTGAACCAAAGACAGTCTCAAAAACACGGTTTGAAATCGCTGGTGTTTCTGACGTCACAAACGACCTTGTAACCAATCAGATCAAGTTGTGAATGTTAACCAGTGGATCTCTGAGCTGGTGTGAGTGAGTGGAGGCGGGGCTCATTTGCATATTAATAGAACCACGTATACTAAATGAGGCAAGGGTGTAGAGTTACTTACAAGCTATTTTACGGCAAGAAGGATTTTTTTCCCCAAGGAAAAAAACATATTCAGATGAATACAATTGGAGTTATATTAAAAAATGTCCTGGCTCTTCCAAGCTTTACAATGGGAGTGAATGGGTGTATGTCTTTGGAAGTCCATCAAAGTACATCTATTCATGATAAAAGTGCTCCTCTGAGGGTTAATAAAGGCCTTCTGAAGCGAAGAGATGCGTTCGTGTAAGAAAAATATCCACATTTAAAACTTTATTGACTAATATAACTAGCCTCCGGCAGGCGGCCTACGCATCGATTTACGGCAAAAGAGTAACACTTGACCCGACACACAACGTAATGACGAAAGCATACACCTAGGATGACTTCAGGGTGAGTAAATCATGGGCTAATTTTCATTTTTGGGTGAACTATCCCTTTAATTGATGGGACTCAGGCATTTAAAATCATCTAAACTGCAAATTCTCAGTATAATTTAAAGAACATTATCAATCCTTTAGAGGGATTTAACATTTCAACTTTTAACATAAACTATTTGATACAATAATGAAGGTCATATTTAGTTTAGCTATAGTGTGAAATAACTCCAGATATTGTTTCTCTTTACACTTGATAAGTTAATACTTTTTAAAGAAAGTTCAGTAAAACTTTACTTAAAGCCTTTATAATGCATTATAAAGGTTTTTTTTAATGCAGTATTTTTTAACTTATAATGCATTGTATGGTCTCATTATTAACATTGTAATACTTTATCTATTCATTGAACACGCCTTTAGAAAGTATAATGCATTAAAACACATGACAAACAACCAATAGAATCTGCAAATATTATAATGCATTTTACTTTTGGTTACAATTATTTATGAAACACATAATGCACTATAATGTACATTGTGAATACATTTATAATGCATTATACATTAGGACTTTAAGTAAAGTGTTACTGAAAATTTTACTTTGACTTTTTTAAACAATTGAATAAGTCATTGTTTAGTTATTGGAGTTATTGCATGTCAAAAAAATATTACCTTATTGGAAAAATACATGCCATAGAGGGCTAATAAAGCAATCAAAAATGAAAGGCTTTTGTGATTTTGCGTGTGTGCGTCTTTTTGAGGCAGATGAAAGATTTATTTTATCATCATTTTACATACATGAGTTCAAAAACTCAACCTAACAACAATAAATTTCTTCCCGCAAAATGTATGACAGGGTTATGGCGAGTTTCAGCATCCCAGAAACATTTGTCTTAGAAGGGCTGGAGATCTTATCAGACTTTAATTCAACACTTGGCCCTAAATACTTCATTATACGAAACGATTCAGACCAATCCATCTGATATTTCACTTTGTGTTCATAAGAGCCCAACAGCTGTGAACTCATTCCTAATGAAAAAGGGTAAGGCTTGTTTATGCAATGATAAGGAACTCGACAGATGAGTGAAATGCTCATTACTACGTGCTAAAGAATGTCTCGCACACATACTGAATTATTTACTGTTGTACTTTCTGTTTAAAACCTCCCGTTGAACGATTCAAGCCTAAGAAAACATGACTCTGTTCCGCCGCCTAATCAGGCAGCATGACATGGAGCCTTAGCAAAGGGAATCCCAGAATGCATTGTGCCAAGCACATATTGATGGCCAATGTTGTCAGGAAAAATGTTGACTGAAAATTAAAGGAAAATATTATTTAATAGACGAACACGTGGCTAAATGGGACTACAGAGGTTGTTGGGGACATGTAACATCATCATGCTGAACATGTAAACTCATCCGTAACACTTTATTTCAATGGTCCACTTTAGACATTGTACTAACTAGAAGTAAGTTTGCAACTAGCAGTCATTAGAGTATTAGTAGACTCTGCTTAATATCTGCTAACTCTTTATTCTGATGCTCTCCAAAAGACAATTGGCAAGTTCATGTCACTTTATTCTACTAACCCGAACTCTAACAGTCTACTTATACTCTATTAAGAGTTAGCTGACATGTAGTTGCAAATTAATGAGAGTTAGCTGACATGTATTTGCAAAGTTATTTATAGTTAAAAGAATGTCTAAAGTGGACTATTAAAATAAAGTCATAAATCATATCGAAATTTGAATCAGAAATCGGTCAAAAGTCATAAAATAAACTCATACTCATAGTCCACTATAACAGCCTTGTCATGTTTATACTCGCTCTACCAAACTATTCTAACTCCAACTTTACTGCAGATTTTAAATAAAGATTGAAAGATTGTTGGAAACTTATAGTGCTGGAGACGGTGACACTGATGTAGTTCATTTATAGCCTAACTTTAGCTTTTTACTTCTGCCAATTGTAAAGGCTTCAAAATTCATAACAGTTTGTGAAAATTATCTTGATGAACAAAATGTGTAGGAAAATCCTTTTGGCTTTTTGTTGAGCGAACCAGAATGATGTGAACTCCAGGTGGCCTAT